CCCCCCCCCCGACTTCACCGCGACGGCTACTACCCCTTCTCCCCCCATCTTTATCTTCTTCCGCCACCTTTGTCGTTATTCGTCTTCTTACCCTCCTCCCCCTCTCGTTGTTTTCTCGTCTTCTTCGTCTCCGTCAGGTAGGTAGTGCCTGTCTCTTATACACATCTAGATCAAAACATACATACAGCATAATCACTACCTTACCCTTCCCGAACCACATCAACAAACGAACTACGGGCTGCGCACCCGTGCCCTCTGGTAAGTCAATTTCCTTGAGGTTTGAACGGTGAAGTCTCAACTTCGATGCTTACCTTGTTTTCACTTTTTTAAGGTTTTTTTTTTTTTTTTATTTTTTTTTTATTTTTAAGAGGAAACAGGTCTTTATATCCTTCACGACATCTGTTTAACCACCAGTACCTGGACGTTTTTACGCCATTAACCCGGTGGCTGAATCGGTGCGCCAGGTGGGTCGATATGCATTTGCATCATAGCCTCCCCAGAGGGGGCCTAAGACCCCCTGGGGTACCGGTGGTTTAAGCCACCAGTACACGGAGCCAGCCTTGCAGTCCAAAGCTTGTCGCCACAAGAAAATGAGGCCGAAATGTTGTGACGCTGGGCCCGCCCTTGATAAATTCGATCGGCGGCCCCGTTTTCGATTAGCACCTCCAGAATTCACAGTGCCAGACCCGCGGCCCAGGTGGCAATTACCGGTCGTCTAAACCACCAGTACACGGCCCCAGCCTTGAAGAAAAATGAACTTGTCGCCACAAGAAAACGAGGCCGAAACGTCAAATGCTGGGCCTGCCGTTGATAAATTTGACCGGCAGCCCTGTTTTCGTTTCGCGCCTCCAGAATTCGCCGCGTCAGACCCGCGGCCCAGGTGCCCATGTACTGGTCGTCTAAACCACCAGTACACGGCCCCAGCTTTGAAGAAAAATGAACTTGTCGTCGCAAAAAAAAAAAAATTCAGGGCTCGGGCAAGGCCTGGTGAAGCAACTGGGGAGTAAACTTCTGGGCTTGTTGAGAGAACCCTTAACTTTGTGGGCTCATTGAAAACGGGCGGCTGGACTCGAAACCTTTCCTAGTGGTCCGATCTGCCCGTGGATTTCCACATGTACGTACAGAACCCCTGCCTCGCCGGGCCTGGGGCAACAAAACTATAACCAGAAAAAAAAAGAAAAAAAAAACACAACCAAGGAAAGACGAGAAGCATTTGCTTGGTTTTTCATTCGGATGGCCGTGGTCACATTCCTGTGTCACATTCGAGAGAGAACTGGATTCGAGAGTTCCCCTCATTTGTCGGGATGAGGCACATGCAGCAGATATGAAAGTGTCATACTAGCCTCTGGATTCCCGGAGGGCTCCGCAGCAGCTTGGCTGAATGGAGCAGTCCAAATTGAGGGCTGTTGAAGAGATCTAAGGCTTGGGCCAGGACGAAGACCTTAAGGAGTTCATGGGGGCCCCGGCTAGTACCTGAATCAGGCCTAGGTGCAGACAGTTTGGCCCAACGTGAAGCTACTAGCCACTCGGTCGCGAGACCCAGGCTGCCAACACAGGCAAGCGCTTTCCATATAAGAAAGTGCCCACCTGCTTGCCAGTAATCCTGACAGTACGTGGTGGTACTGTAGCGCTGTTGCTCGGGGGCTAGGAAGTCCGCGTCGCTGTATTGCTTGGGATGTGCACAGGCGTAGGAGGTGTGGTCGGTGATCAGCGTTGTCACGCGTCAGCCCACACACCCGCCCCCGCACCCCC